GGAGTGTTCAAGTGGTTCTTTCCAAGATGACTTATCTCTACCGATACAGAGAAGCAGCTGGCAACTTTTGAATAGCAACTTTTCTCAGTAAAGCAAGGAAAACAAAAATTTGAGTTCTCTCTTACTGAGTACTCCTGATGCATGTATTTATAATGGTGAGTGGAACCTAACTGAATTAAACTAACAACAAAAAACAAAACTATATAACCCTCTGACATCCTTCCTTAAACTCAATTCTATCTCTGATGTGACTGGGTCTCTGAGAATTTATTTCCTTTTCAAATGCTTGACCCTGAAAAAGAATGACCTTTTAAAGATAGTTTGTAGATTCTATGATTTTCCAGAAAGACTGACACATTGTAACTGACTATATACTTCAATTTAAAAAAAAAAGAAAAGATGCCTGTTTCTTTTTCTCTTCTCTGTTCAGTTCCCAGGATGGGAGCTTGGTGTTAACTTCGGTTCTCAGCTTGGTCCTCTCTGGGAGTTCCCCATGCTCTTGCCCTTTTTTGTCCCTTCTCATAACACAAAAATTAACCTTGACCAATACTTAGGACCATCTGTTCTTTGTTAGGTGGCTGGTTCACTTGGTAAACTAGGAAGTTTACTGAATTTTCTTTGTCATTCTTAGATAAAACTATTGAGCCCAAAGAAATCGGTCATATAAAGTCCAAGGTAGGGACATGGGGTATGTATGTAGAGACATAGAGAACATTTTAGTATCCTCCTAATCACATCCTTGTTGAAAATGCAAAATAATAACATGTTTTTGCTCTGTAGTGTAAAACTGCCTTCATATATGTCATATATATATGACATCACATTGTCAGATACATAGTTATTCCTCTTATCAGAATGTCAGCTCCAGGAGAAAAAGAATTTTACATTTTTCTCACGGTTGTGTTTCTAGACAGTGCTTGACACATATTGATACTCAATAAATATTTGCCAGATGCAGGAATGAATGAGTGATCATAAATTGCATAAAAAGAAGGTTCAGACAGACAAAGTGATGTGCTCAAAGTCAAAAAGCTACTGCAGTTTGAACCCAGTAAAAATCTTGGAAAAGGACACAAAAATATAATTTTCCAGAGACTACAGTCAAAGGTATTATAAATACCTGTTAAATCTTATTAGTCATCAGAAAATTCATATTAACAAGAGACTTCTTCAATGGTTTATTTTGGTAAATGTTTCATGTGCACTGGAAGACAATTTGTATTGTTCTGTTGTTGAGTGTAGTGTTCTGTCACTGACACTTAGGACAAGTTGATTGATACTGGTTTTCAAGTTGTCCATATAATTACTGATTTTTTAAATGTACTTCTATAATTTGCTAAGAAATCGTGAAGTATAATTATGGTCTTGTCTATTTTCTCCAATTTCATCTATTTTTGTATTATTTTGGTAGATGCATACCCTTTTTTGTATTTTTATGTCTTCTTGATGACCCTTTTATCATTATGGAATGTCCCTTTTTATCTCTAGGTATATTCCTTATTTTGAAGTCTGCTTTTTTTATATTATTGTAGTCACACCAATTTTCACTGTAGACATTTTTTCCACTCTCTTACTTTTAACCTGTCTTTTGTTTAAAGTTTATATCTAAAGGGAACACTTGTACACTGTTAGTGAGATTGTAAATTGGTGCAGCCACTAAGGAAAACAGGATGAAGGTTTTTCTAAAAAACAGAATTACCACATGATCCAACAATTCTACTTTTGGGACTATATCTGAAGAAAATCAAAGCAACAAAAAATAATAACCCGATTAAAAAATGGGCAGAAGACCTGAATAGACATTTTTCCCAAAAAGGTCATACAGATAATCAAAACATGCATGAAAAGATGCTCAGCATTGTTAATCACCAGAGAAATGCAATTAAAACCACAGTGAGATATCACCTCACACCTCTCAGAATGGCTCTTATGAAAAAGACCACAAGTAACAAACGCTGGAGAGGATGTGGAACCCTTGTACACTGTCAGTGGAAATGCATATTGGTGCAGTCACTGTGGAAAACAGTAGGGAGGTTTCTCAAAAAACTAAAAATAGAACTACCATATGATCCAGCAACTCCACTTCTGGGTAATTATCTGAAAAAAATGAAAACTGTAATTTGAAAAGATACATGCCCCTCAATGTTCACAGCAGCATTATTTACAATAGCAAAGATATGGAAGCAACTTAAGTGTCCATCAACAGATGATGAATAAAGATGTGTGTGTGTGTGTGTGTGTGTAGGAATACTACTCAGACACAAACTTGCAACAACATGGATAGACTTAGAGGGTATTATGCTAAGTGAAATGAGTCAGACAGAGAAAGACATATTGTGTGACATCACTTACATGTAGAATCCAAAAAATAAAGCAAACAATTGAATACAACAAAAAGGAAACAGATTCACAAATATAGAGAACAAACTAGTGGTTGCCAGGGGGGAGACAAAGGGGGAGGGACAAAATAGGGGCAGGAGATTAGGAGACGCAAACTACTACGTATAAAATCAGTAAGCTGCAGGGATGTTTAGCACAGCACATGGAATATAGCCAATTTTTTATAATAACTATAAATGGAATATAATACTTAAAATTTATGAATTATTATTATATTGTACACCTGAAACTTATAAATATTGTACATCAACTCTACCTCAATTTAAAAAAAAATACTAAAAAATACCCCACTGTGTTGGGGAGATATCTGTACCCACATGTTCATAGCAAGATTATCTACAGCAGCTAAAACATGGAAGCAACCTAAGTTGTCTATTAATGGATGAATGGATAAAGAAGTTGTGGTTTTCTGTACAATGGAATATTATTCTGCCATGAAAAAGGAAGGAAATTCTGCCATTTTTGACAACAGCCTTGAGGGCCCTATGCTAAGTGAAATAAGTCAGAGAGAAAAAGACAAATATATGATCTCACTTATTATAAGAAGAAAAAGAAAAAGACAGAGAGAGAAAGGGAAACCAGACTCATAGAAAAAGAGCTCAGATTTGTTGTTACCAGAGTGTGGGTGTGGTGGGTAGGGCCTGAAATTCGATGGAGGTTGTCGAAAGGCACAAACTTCCAGTTATGAGGTAAATAAGTACTGGGAATGTAATGTACACCATGATAACTACTGTTAACAGTGCTGTCTGGTATATTTGAAAATTGTTGAGAGTAAATTCTGAGTTCTCATCACAAGCAAAAAAAATCTTTCTCAGTCTCTCTCTATTTTGTTTTTTTTTGGATCTGTATGAGATGATGAATGTTAACTAAATTTTTTGTTGCAATCATTTCACAGTATCTGTAGGCCAGATCATTTTGCTACACATCTTATGCTCATGCAGTGCTGTATGTCAATTATATTTCAATAAAGCTGGGAAAAAATACATCTCTTATAAACAGCATATAGTAGTAGAGTCTTGCTTTTTAAAAAATCTAGATAATCTCTGCCTTTTAATCAGAGTATTTAATTTATTAATATTCAATGACTCACTATTTGTAACATTATAGTGTCACCCCCAAATTTGTGTCTACCCAGAACCTCAGAATGTGACATCATCCAGAAATTGGGTCTTTGGGGTGGTAATTTGCCAAGGTCATTCTGAATTAGGAGAGAGCCTAAATCCAATGACTAGTGTCCTTATAAGAAAAGAACAGGACACAGGGAGACAAAGGCCATGTGAAGACAAAGACACATGATGTAGTGATGTAGGTACAAGACAAGAAACAAAGGATTGCTAGCAATCCCCAGAAGCGAGGGGAGAGGCAGGGAGCAGATTCTCCCTCAGAAGCACTGCAAGACACCAATGTTGCCTGGCCCCTTGATTTTGTATCTCTGGCCACCTGAACTGTAAGAGAATAAATTTGTTTTTTTTCTTTTTTAATTGAAGTATAGTCAGTTACAATGTATCAATTTCCAGTGTACAGTATACTGTTTCAGGCATACATATACATAAACATATTCATTTTTGTATTCGTTTTCATTATAGGTTATTCCAAGATATTAAATATAGCTCCCTGTGCTCTACAGAAGAAATTTGTTTTTTATCTATTTTATACATAGTAGTTAATATTTGCAAATCCTGAACTCCCAGTTTATCCCTTCACACCCCTTTTCCCCCCAGTAACCACAAGTTTGTTTACTGTATCTGTGAGTCCGTTTCTGTTTTGTAGATAAGTTTATTAGTGTCTTCTTTTTTTTTCCTTTAGATTCCACAGAAACAAAAATTTCTGTTGCTGTAAATCACCTAATTTGTGGTAATTCATTGCAGCAGCACTAGGAAACTAATACATTTATTGTAGTTATCAATATGGTTGAGTTTGTACCTACCATCTTGCTTTTTGTTTTTCTCTTTCCCATCTTTTGCTTTTTCCTCCTTTGTCTTTTTTATTTTTAATGAATATAGTGATTGAGTGATATAATAATTTTTAGTATTCCATTTTATTTCCTCTTGGTTTTTTATCTCTAGTTCTTTCTTTTATGTATATATATTTAAGTGGTTGTTCTAGGAATTCTTATCACATAACATTACAGCATTTCACATGTAATGAATAAATCTTAGAATATTACTTCATGAACTCCACTCTCATCTTTTGTGTAACCAGTTTCTAGAGTCTCTCCCCCAAGCCTCCCATTTTCTCCCCCCATATTTTTGCCATCTTTTCCAGGACCTGATGATCTAATAGTAAGACCAGATTTTAGCCCCATCTTACGGACTTGAGCGTATCTATTAATGCTGGATTTTGTTCATGAAGTAACTGGGAACAGAGAAGAATGCAGGAGTGGGCTAGTCTGCGGGGGTGAGGTGAGGGACTGCAGGCCAGGGCTGGGGGCCAGTGATGCCCAGTGTCATCAGGCCCCTGGGCCTCCCTCAGAAGGAGCTTGGATTTTATTCTGATCAAGATTTTTCAACCGACTAATGGAAATTAAGCCAGGGAGAGACATGACATGATTATCATTTAAAGGATTGCTCTGGCTGAGCTGTGAAGAGGCTGGCTTGTAGGAGAGTGAAAATGGAAGCAGAGAGGCAGGTTTTAAGAGGCTATTGCCTTAATCCAGGAAAAGCCAACGGGAAAGATTGATTTCGCTGAACTTCCCTGAAAGCCTGTTTTAAAACTCCATTTCTCTGAATCAGGACGTGGATTGAATAAGGGAGCAGCTCAGACTGTGAGATGAAAGATGACATGGCCTGTGTGTACCACTGCTGCAGAGTTTGCTGTCAGATGTAATAAATTGCATTTATCTGAAGAGAATCAGGGAAGGGGCTGGAGGGAAGCAGGGATCAGCCACTTAGAAGGGCTTTGCTCCCTCCTGCCGGTGACCCCTCCAGCTGACTTGAGGCTGCTTGAAGTGGGCGAGGCCAAATATTATGGGTTCTATTGGTTGCCTTGGCAATAAATAGCTCATTCCAGCTTTTCTAAAGTTGAGGACATCTTCTTCCAAGTCGGAAAAGCAGTCCTTGAAAGTGTTTGGCTAAACTGCCAACTGTTACCCAGGCGCTGGGAAAGCTTTTCATGTGTGTTTGGAGGAAAAACCTGCCATTTTGAAGACTTACTGACTCTTTCCCCAGAAAGTCAAAACAGGTAGCCCCAGGCATTTCCTTTTCAGGAACTCTCTTCAGGGTCCTCCGTCACTGGCAGATGGTGAGGGGCTGGGGGAAGTGAGGAGTGAGGTGGGCGGTCTGCCCACTCCAAGGATTAGGGGTAGTGGGAACCTGGCAGAAATCATCCTGCCACTCCCCACTTCCAGACCCTGCTCCCAGACCGATATGTAGATATCGGTCAGCAGGCTCTACCTGGCAGCCTGGACCTGCCCCCTGGATCCCAGAGCAGAGCAGATTTTCCTCACCGTCAGGAGGGGATGGGAGCCTTGCAGCCAGTAGACTTAGGATGCACTAAAACAGACCAGCACCAGAGAACCTATTTTTATGCACCAGTTATTGTGGTTTGTGCTGAGATAGAGGGGCTGACAACATCTGTGCGTCTGCCCTCATAGCACTTACATTCCAGAAGAGGAACAGGAGAAGAATAAGTTCCCCCGGAATGAAGGCTCTTGCAGCAGCCCCTGTTCTCAACTCCACTTCTCCCACAGATGGAGCCACCGTACCATGCTCCTCTCTGACTCACTCTGGGTGTTGTAACCTGATCCACAAGTGCCCAAACACCAACTGGGTCGTTGCCTTGCCTCCAGCCTCTCCCTCCACTGTGCCTCCCTGAGTTCCAATTCTAGACAGGATTCTTTCTGGGTTTTCCAAGCCCTTGGCCCCCTGGTTGCCTTGTGAGCTTGTCCAGGCTCTCCCTCCTCCATCCTGCCAGTGTCTTTGGAGCTATAATGAAGTTCACACCCCACTGTGCTTCCTGCTTGAGTTCACATTAAAATAGTCCTGGCCATTGAATGTGGTTTCCCATACTGGGCCATCAATTTCATTTTCTGTTCCCTTTGGTTGCCCACCTCTCTGAAAAAAAATTAATTTGACTAGGATTTTCTTTTGCAACAATATTTCTCTCTCTAAATGCAGCTTGAATCCAACCACCATCTCCCAGGCAATGGATCACAAATCTGACCACACATTAGTCACCTGGGGAAACAGGATAATGATACGATGTTTTTATCCCATCCAGACTCATGAATTGAGAATCACTGAGGGTAGGACCAAGCCATCAGCATTTTTAAAAGCTCCCCAGGGGATTTAATGTGCAGCAAGGCTTGAGAACAACTTTCCAAGATGGTGTCCCAGTTGAGCTGAGTGAAGGGTGGTGGTTGGCAGGAATGCAGGACCAGGGACAATGCGTGGATTACGAGGGTGGGTAAGCACAGGCAGCAGGCCAACAGTCAGCCAGCAAAGTCAGCTAGAGCCGGGTTTTCCTTACAGGACACGCGCACCGCTTTGCTCTGCTACTAGATTTCTTGTTGGCAAAGTTTCTGTAGAGATCCAAGTCTGGCAGGGAATCACTGAGTTCTCCACTTTGAAGTCCTCATGGGGAGCAGAGCTGGGCTGGCATCCTCATGGACCGGGAAGCTTCAGGAGGTGCCCAAGGAGCAGGGAAGAGGGGAAGGGAATCTCCTGACCCATGGCCCCCCAGCCACACAACTGGGTGTGGGTTTTAACCTGGAGAATCGTGGCTCACAGATGTCACCAGTGGTTTCCCCTCAAGTCTGGAGTAAACAGGTGGAATGATCTCAGTGGTCAGGTAGCTCAGTCATTCCCAAACCTGGGGGCACATTAAAATGTAAAAGTCCAGAGAAAGAGAGAGAGAAAAAAATCCCAGTTCCCACTCCATACCAACTGAACCAAAAACTATGGAGGGAAACCCAAGCTACTATGTTTTTAAAAAGTACCCCAGGTGATTCTAATGTGTGGTAAGAGTTGAGAATCACTTCTAATCCAACACTCTCATTTTGTAGATGAGGAAACCACGGCCCAGGGGTTTAGACCATAAAGGATACTGGGCGGTGTATGAGCCATTTGGGGAGAAATCAGGTCAGATCCTCATCCTGCCTTACGCACTGACACACATTCCAGAAACGTAAATGTAAAAAACTCAATCCTTAAAAAAGAAAGATAGAAAAAAGTTTATGTGCATATTTATCTGCTAAAAAAAAAGGTAAAGAAACGCTCAACTTCTTTAGTTAGAAAAAGAAATGTAAATTCAAGCAACACTGAAATGTCCTTTTCCACAGAGAATATAAATAGGATTTTTGAAAGCCGAATGCTGAATGGTGTGGGTGAGGCAGACACGGTGCCTTTCTCCTCTCTGCTGAATGTCCGCTCACACACTGCTGGGAGCGATATTCGTTGTTAAGCCTTTTGAGAAGCAATTTGAAAATAGCTATCAAAAACTTTGAAAATATCCTAGTGAGAGAATGTTCTATTAGTCAGGATTTTCCAGAGAAACACAATTGATACAATGTGTATATATAGAGAGAAAGAGATGTATTTTAAGGACTTGGCTAATGCAGTTATGGGGACTGACAGTCCAAAATCTACAGGGTGAGCTGGACACTCAGACTGGAGACACAGAAGAGAGTCAATGCTGTAGTTCAAGCTCAAAGGTCATTAAGTTGGAGGCCCAGGAAAAAGCCAGGGGTTGCAGTTCAAGTCTAAACTCATCCACTGCAAAATTCCCTCTTGCTTGTGGAGGGGCAGTCTCCCCCACTCCCTCCAAGGCCTTCAACTGATTGGGTGAGGGCCACCTACATCATGAAGGGCATTCTTGCTTTACTCAAAGTCCTCCAATTCAAATTTAATATCACTAATTATCAGAGAAGTGCAAATCAAAACTACAATGAGGTATCACCTCACACCAGTCAGAATGGCCATCATTCAAAAGCCCACAAATGACAAATGCTGGAGGGGCTGTGGAGAAAGGGGAACCCTCCTACAATGCTGGTGGGAATGCAGTTTGGTGCAGCCACCGTGGAAAACAGTATGGAGATTCCTCAAAAGACTAGGAATAGACTTACTGTATGACCCAGTAATCCCGCTCCTGGGCATATATCCAGAGGGAACCCTACTTCAGAAAGACACCTGCACCCCAATGTTCATAGCAGCACTAGTTACAATTGCCAAGACATGGAAACAGCCTAAATGTCCATCAACAGAAGACTGGATAAAGAAGAAGTGGTATATTTATATGATGGAATACTATTCAGCCACAAAAACCGACAACATGATGCCATTTGCGGCAACATGGATGTTCCTGGAGAATGTCATTCTAAGTGAAGTAAGCCAGAAAGACAAAGAAAAATATCATAAATATCATATGAGATTGCTCATATGTGGAATCTAAAAAAAAAAAGAACATAAATACAAAACAGAAATAGACTCATAGACATAGAATACAAACTTGTGGTTGCCAAGGGGGAGGGTGGTGGGAAGGGATAGACTGGGAGTTCAAAATTTGTAGA